AAGTTAAATAAGTATTAACTTAACTTTCAACTAATATAAGAATATCATTGATAGTGTGCCCTTATGGCGACGTCACCGGGCCACAATCGCCGCTTGAAACTTGATCGATTGTTGATTGGCATGCGCAACAACATACACGTGAGGGAAGCGGCACGACAATGTGTCGGAGTTGAACGTTGAGGACAGGAATACGAACCATATATGATTGACTCGTAGTGTACTTCCCTCAGTCCGTTACATGAGTTGAGGGTAAGCCGTTTTCTCTTATCTTGCCATATTACCTAGACACTAACAACTACATTCAGAGACTAATTGTGATATTGTCTGGGTTGGGTTCAAAATAGACGATCACGCTAGATATCACAATTCATACGTGATATCACTCAGCATTAGCTACCCATAATGCATCGACTACATTCGTGGATCCTGGGCCTGAAGGCCTGACGTCCCAAAGTGGCTGCACAGACAGGGATGTGACTAAAGATGTCATTATACATATGGTGCGGTTTACAAATTGATAGAGGTGGGTAAAACAAGTTAAACAACTATGTACTCACTGGACATCACAAGTCGATCATCACAGCTTATCGAGTACAGTGGGATGAACATGCTGTTTCTGCGAGTACTGACTTAGGTGAACGCTCCAGCATCCAGTCGTTAAAGTCGCGCTGCATTTTCGTCCAACCATCGTGACAGACGACAAAATTTGCAGGTCGATCACATAGTTCTGCCTATTGTTAGAACAGGATCTTGCGCCATTGATCAGGAATGTGATATCACAGATATCGCTCGCACAATTCCACCTTGTGAGTGAGGATAGTTGGTGGCTCAGCCGTGCCTGTCCTGAGTGCTTTTATAGGGGGACTCTTCTTCCTTTACACTCATTCCTTTCTCTCACCGAGATGACGACCTCTGTGAGCTCTACCCCAGAGCAGGAAACCCCGACGACGGCCGGCTTTAGTCGTTCCGTCTCTTCACTGTCTTCTATTGGTAAACGAAGTTCTTCGTTGCCGACTGACAACCTGGTGGAGGAGGTGGAGGAGCAGTTCTCGTGGACAAAAACCGTCTTTCGTCGAAAGCAGATTGCCCACCACGATCCTGATGCAATCGCGACCAGACGCTCTGTTTATGATGACCCTGACCTTGCACCACACTATTGGCCCAAGAAGGACTACGAGAATATCCACAGATTCGATCCAACCGCTCGTTGGACATACAGGGAGGAAAAGGTGGGGTTTTATCCTTATCGTGATTTGACTCGTGTTAAATGTGAGGAAGGCCCTGGTCCGCAAGTTGGATTGGAAGATTATGGTTACGGCAGCTATCGGATTTTCCGCCTTAAACTTGGACAGGAGCAACATCAGCCAGGCAAACTCCGACTCTTTTTTGCAGGATCTTGGGTTGACTACAGATGGTAAGCGTGTTCCATTACCATCTGAGTAATATCCTGACTTAATCTTTCAGACTTCAATCTCGGAAATACCGTGTTCAAGTTGGCATTTTTATGCGCAGAACTACCGTCACAGCTTGTCTCGAAGAGAGTACGTGTATTCACTGTAGATTGTTTTGTGACTTATGGTCGCATCGAAGATTGGCCCGGATCGCTGGATACCAATGCAAATCTGCCTCTGGAGTATGTAGTATAACAACTGTACCAAAACCGTTCTCATCGATAGGTCACAGGTGTGGTGTCTCTGTCACAATTCTGGCTGACCGGTAGGGTCTCGTTCCTGGTCTGCCGAGCACTTCTTGGGTAATATCATGTAATTACTGTCCCAAAGCTTCTCTTCACTGACTAGTCAATTCAGCGCTTTGCAAGGCGGGTAAGTCCAGCTCCTGCGCGCGCTCGAGGATACTTTGTTTACATTCCACAGCTTTATCCCTGACCTGATATTATATCTATCTTGTATGTCAGTTACCTTGCACCTCATCTTACATTGCCGACTTTTTGGACAGATTTTTACACGAAAACGGAACTACCCATGCGCCTCGCGCTATTCTGGATGTCTTCGAACCTCTGTGGCATCGCTGCTAGCTTTGTAGCATATGGCACGCTTCACATGGATGGTGTGGCTGGCGCTGCTGGATGGCGGTCAGTAGAAGTTTGATGCTCATTTCGAAAAAAAACCTGACTTGATCCAAGGTGGCTGTTCATGATTGAGTGTGTCCATTTCTTGCTAATGACATAAGACGCGCGAACTCGACCCTCCCACAGGGGAATCCTTACTCTCCTCATAGGATTTTTATCTTTTTTCCGCATGCCTCCGTCGCCAACGCAGACCAAGACATGGTTCCGGCCAAACGGTTGGTTCACGGAAAGAGAAGAAATCATTATGGTCAACCGAGTACTTCGGGACGATCCCACTAAGGTAAGTAGTCATGTCCCAGTCTCGTCAGACGCTGTGACTAACTTACTCCCTCAGGGTGACATGCACAACCGTGAGGGCCTTTCAATTCGTCGTCTGTGGACAGCAGTATGTGATTATGACCTTTGGCCGATTTACATCCTGTACGCCATTCCCCTAATCTTTGGAAGAGTTAGACACTCATGAAACGCAGCGGCCTTTTGTTTGGTATCCCGAATGGTCCCCCCTCAACATATCTCACTTTACTACTTAGGGACATCGGGTAGGTATCATGATTATCCCTTCGTTTTGACATACTCAAGGCCAGGAACCTAGATTCAATACATTTGATACCAACCTCCTTACGATACCCTCTCAAGTTCTCGGAATGGTCACCATGTTTGTGATTACGCTTGTCTCAGAGTCCGTCAATGAGCGTTCTATTGTGGCGATGATGGAGGACCTCTGGACGTTACCTTTCCTCGTTGCACTCTATGCAATGTCTAGCAGCCCTAACCCTTGGATATTTTTTGTGAGTAACGCGTTTTGATTGGCGCTACGCGGTTTACTCAACTGGTTCAGGTTGTGGTGACTGGTCTGTTGTCATATCCGTGAGTTCGAACTTATCAGCATTAGTATTCTTGAAGACCGTTCTTGACGTCCTCGTGTTACCAGATATACCCATCCAATCCAGGTAACTGCTTAAAACGATCCTCGAGTGAAATACTTATCTTTTGTTTCAGGTGGGATGGTGCTCTCGTAACGCTGGGGCAGTGGCAAGTCGAACAGTCAACGCGTCGTTATACAACATGTGTGGAATTCCCCGTTTTCAAACTGAAAACATACTCACTTTCCGCTAGGTTCGTGCAAGCCAGTGGAATCATATCCGCACAGATCTACGTAGCCAGCGATGCTCCCAGATGTGTGTCACTCCTCATTTCCTTTCCCAGGCAACATAATCATAACACCCACCCCCTTGCGTAGATCGACGTGGCAACAGGACCCTTATCATCATCTGCTGCATCAACGTCTGTTTTCTGTACCCAGGTACAAAGGCATATTACATGTGGCGCAACCGGCAACGAGCTAAGATTTGGGATGCGATGACGATGCAGGTGAGTTCATTATGGACTTTATAAAGAGCTAGGGCTCTGACGCTAAAGACTTTAAATGATAGGAACGTGCACACTATCTGAGCACGACCAAGGACATTGGGAACAGAAGACTTGATTTCCGTTTTGCGCATTAATGTCATATTCAATTATGTAGCTTTAATCAATTCTGCATTCGACTTGCATCGAGAACACGAGATAGGAGGAGCGTGACAGCACCAAAAAATAGTTGTATTCGACAAGCCCAGGGTCCTCAGCTGAAAAGTTCGGGTTCACGGTGCACTCGAGCTAAAAAAAAATAGATCGCTAAAGAACTTTTAGGAATGAGACACGCTGCAGGTGTGTCAAGATGAAGATGGGATAGATGAAAATTTGTCCTGCGTTGCCTATCGCTATCTCTAGGAACGGGCACAAGCGACTCGAGAGAGTGCGACAGTAAAAAACTCCAAGTACATGATGTGCTAGGTCCTAGGATGAGATGAGGTCGGTGAAGAGTTGCAAAAATTTGTGATCTAGTACTTGAGGGCCTAGAGCCAGAATGCTGTAGGCCCGAGCGGACCGCTCTGGAGGCGAGCAGCGGCACTGAAGGCCCAAATCGGCAAAGCTTCGAAGTTGTTACTACCATGTACACTGAAGACATCAGATATGCACGATGGAACATGCTGAAACCATGTGTCCGACCAGTCCTCATCGAATCTGGCGCCTGGATGCCTTCAGCCCTGACTCATAACAAATTGGTGGTGAAGCATTCGCTGGTTTTCCTTCTCGAGTCGATTCACGGTCAAGTTTTCAGTGATGTGGTCAGGATCATCTATTGTAAGTCGCGTCTGAATCTAGTTCAGCATCAAGTCTTTACACCCCAAACCAGGGTGCTATGAACTCCAGCTATGTCGATGAAGCTTCAACAGACACGTACAATATCGTCATTTTCGGAGAAACAGGAGCTGGCAAAAGCTCCTTGGTCAATTTAATCGTTGGGTCAGAAACAGCACCGGCATCCTGCGACGCCGAAGGATGTACAGCTGAAACTCAGGAGTACCTATACGATATTGTGATTCACGGCAAGACCTTCAAGGTAAAGCTTTTTGATACAGCTGGTGAGTGCAGGGCGCCGCTCTTCGTAGGCATTGCTGACCTAAATTGCAGGTCTCGGTGAGGGCTCTGAGGGCAAAGTCCCTGACAAGAAAGCTCGGCAAATTTTGAAGGACCTCCTGCGAAGGCTTATGGAGCAGGACGGAATCCATCTCCTCATGTACTGTGTTGATGGCAAGAAACAAGGCAGGGAAGCGATCAAGGCACTCTGCCGCAACTACAAACTATGTACATTCGAAGTCAAGAAAAGGGTTCCAATTGTCCTCGTTGTCACACGTTTGGAAACCATAGAACCAGAAATGGAAGAATGGTGGAAGAACAACGAGCAGTTCATCTCAGAGTATGACATGACTTTTGCTGGCCACGCATGTATCACCACGCTGACCGATGATGCGATGCTTCAGGGGCGCCATGACCAGTCATACTTCAACGTCTGCGAACTTATTGCAGAATGTCGTACGAGGTGCGGTGTTTCCATACGCTCATTTTGCTGTATTTTTATTTGTTAAGTAGGAGCGGACCCAGGAGAAGCAAGTGCAAAGGGAACGGGCCTAAGAGGGATGTGCCCGAAAGGAAGTTGCCCAAAAAAATCAAAAGCACCGCGCCCCAAAGAATCGATCCCGAAAGGAACAAGCCTAAGAATATCGTACTATTTGGGGAGACGGGGGCAGATAAAAGTTCACTCGTAAAACTTATGGCGGGGAAGGAGGTGTCAGTCGCATCTCCTGACCCGCAACGTTGTACGATGCACTGGAAAGACTACATCATCGACTTCGGAGACAAGACTTACAAGGTGTTCGATACCATTGGACTTGAAGAACCACAGCTAGGGATCAGAGAGTACCTCGAGTCTGTAGACGGCGCCTATAGGCTCATCAAGGAATTGGATCGACAAGGCGGCATTGATCTGCTTCTGCTCTGCATTCGCCCCTGCCGAATAAATGCTACGCTTTACAGCAATTATAAGCTGTTTCATGATTACCTCTGCGAGGGGAACGTTCCCATCGTTCTTGTGATCGCGCACCTCGAAAGAGAGATGGAGGGCTGGTGGGAGAGAGTACAGAGTAAGTTCGAACGTTATGGAGCCCGGGTCGCTGATCATGTGTGCATCTTCGCCACTGATGGATCGGATGGCCCATACGAAACCTGTGACGATGAAGTCACTATCCGCCATCTTGTGGAGAAGTTTACTGCCAACGGGCAGAAACCAGCATGGATAGGAGGGGACAATCTGTTTGTGTTGTTGATGCGTAGACTGAAGGGGCTACCTGGTGGGAATCTGCGTGTGAAGGGGGTGAGCATTATGTCTCGCCTCATGAACCGTTGTGATACGTCTCGACAAGTCGCAAGAAAGTTGGCTTATATGATCAAGCAAGACGCGTCTACTAGTTGAGCCCTTTTCAATAGTCATTGCAGTAGGCATTGTTCATGTCGATGCTTGACACTTACAGACTCGGGATCCGATATGTACTTATGCCAGTACACGGTGTGAGACTTTGAAGGTCCGAGGCCGCCTGGTTGAATGCTCTGATATTCACATTATCAGAAGAGAATGCAGGCACATACATCTCAATTTATCTACTCCGACAACCTCATCAGAGACACAGGAATGGAACATCTTATACATGCACATGTGTGCAACATGCTGAATTCATGCCTCGGGTTCGATATTCAAAGCTTAAAATTAGATCCGGCAGTGGCTGACAACAGTTGTAGAAGGAATGAAGACACCAATACTACAGATATGCATGGAACGTGCTGAATCTATTTCTTTGGATCGTTAAATCTGGCGTCTGGGCAAGCCTGGACCCAACCACGTTGTTCTAACACGAAGAAAAGTAGGCTGGCGACCCTAATTAACACACAAGTCAAGAGGTGACTTCGCTGTTTTGTCTCTTGCATCGAGTTGTCTTCAAGTTGGCAATGATGTGGTCATCTACTGTAAGTTGCGTCTACCTCTTCCTCAGCATTAAGTTACTAACTTGAAGCCTCGACACGCCACATCAGGGCGCTGCCGACTCTAACTGTGCTGAAGAAGTTTCATATTGCACAGACACCTGCAGTGTTGTCATTTTTGGAGAAGCAGGAGCTGGAAAAAGTTCTTTAGTTAATTTGATAACTAAGACCAACAGGGCGCCGACATCCTGCGACACTATGGGATGTACAACTGAAACCACAATGTACGAGCACGAGGTTCTGGTTAAGAACCAAACCTTGAAGATAAAGCTTTTCGATACACCCGGTCAGTGCGGACCATGCTCTTTGTGAGCGTCATTTAATTAGATTGCAGGTCTGAATGAGGGTTCTGAAGGCAGAGTCCCCGATGACGAAGCTCGGAAAGTTTTGAAGCATCTCCTTCGAAAACTCAAGGAGCAAGAGGACATTCATCTCCTCATGTACTGTGTGCATTACACGAAAGCGGTCAAGGCGCTCTGCCGCAACTACAAATTATGCTCCTCCGAAGTATCGACAAGATGCCCAATCGTCCTTGTCATTACAGGATTGGAGGACAAAAAACCAGAGATGGAAGAATGGTGGAGAAATAACGAGCAATCCATCTCACAGCTCAACATGACCTTTGCTGGCCACGCATGTGTTACTGCACTGGATATCGACGAATATGCAACAGAGAGGCTCAAGCTACGCCATGACCAATCACACTATGCCGTCTGTAAACTTATTGAAGAGTGTCGTGCAAGGTATGGTGTTTGATGCTCTGTGCTGGTTTTGCTAATCATGTTGCGTAGGAACAAGGCAAAAAATATCGTAATTTTTGGGGAGACGGGGGCAGGCAAAAGTTCGCTCGTCAACCTCATGGCGGGAAAGGAGGTGGCAGTCACATCCCCTGACACACAACGCTGTACGATGCACTGGCAAGAGTACACCATCGAATTTCATGGCGAGCCTTATAAGGTTTTCGATACCGTTGGACTCGAGGAAACGCAACTGGGTATCAGAGAGTACCTCGAGGCGGTCGACAACGCCTATAAACTGATTAAGAAATTGGACGCAGAAGGCGGCGTTGATCTACTTTTGTTCTGCATTCGTGCCGGCAGACTCAACGCTACAATACAGAGCAATTACCGGCTATTTCACGAATTCCTTTGCGAGAAGAAGGTTCCCATTGTCCTTGTGATCACGCACCTTGAAAGAGAGGTGAGGATGGACGACTGGTGGGATAGACAGCAAAGTACCTTCGAAAAAACATATGGGATCCGGGTCGCTGATCACGCATGCATCACTGCCGCTAACAGATTGGATGGTCGACACAAAGACCGTTATGAAGAATCACGCGTCACGGTCCGCACCCTTGTGGAGAAGTTTACTGTTGATGACCAGAAGTCATTATGGGCGGGGGGGAACAGCCGGTTCGTGTCATTCATGCGTAAGCTGAAGGGGTTTCTTCCAGAGCCTTTGGATGTGAAGAAGAAGGATATTGTCTCTCGCCTCATGCAGCGTTGCAATTTATCTCCAGATGTCGCAAAACAGTTGGCTCAAATGATTAAGCAAATCCAGTAGAAGTAGTTATTCTCTTTTCGATACCTATACTCAGATTTGCTTGTAGATTTTGTACTCGTTGATACGTTACACTAGGACTTCCTATTTACTGATGCCATTCGCGAATCTATTTGTATTTCAGAATAACGGTTTGAATTATTTACCATGTACACTTATACTGCATGTGGACTTCATTTCACCGCAAGAACTTTAAAGGTCGGTTGAGGTAAGGCCCTCCTCCCCACAATGATTGATTGAAATAGTAATTTCGAAGGTCAGGTGTGTCGAGGTTGAATTCAAGCACTGAACACCACGTATTACGTTCATATTGAGGGTGTGTGCAGTGAATAGTCCAACCAAACATAGAAGGTTTAAGTGATCTACTCCACCTATAGCGTCTGACTCAGAAAATAAAGTGGGTTGTGTGCATGTAGGCTAGAGAACAAAGAAAGAACACGAAAGCGCAGATCGACAAAGCACAATAGATGCGTGCGAGAAAGATGAACAGGGGGTCATGAGTATGGCAAGCCTCCCCCACCAGTCCCATTTCCCCCTCCCGTCCGCCGTGGGGCACGACCACCAAATGGTGGTGGACCGGATCCCATAGGAGCCACAGGTCGTGGCGGTAGATGAGCAGGATGATCCATGGTGCGAGGAGCTTGACGTAGCGGGTGCATCCCACGGGTAGGATACCCAGCGCCGTGAGCTGGTGGACGTCCAAAAGGGGGGTGCTGGCCTCCGGGATGTTGACTACCGGAATGCCCAGGATGTTGTCCTCCAGCGTGCTGACCTCCAGGATGTTGACCACCAGGAGGCTGACCACTGCCTTGATGCTGTAACAAAGCGGACATGATAACAGGCGGCGGCGGACCTGACCTGAACGCGTCGCGATGCGGCGGTCCACGAGGATAGAACCCGGGGGGCTGATTTGGCAAAGGGTGGGGCCTGAAGTAGCCATCAGGAGGCATAATACCTGGTGGTGGCTGGTTGCGTCGCCCGCGCTTATCAAATTCGTGGGAAGCTTCGTATGACGGAAGACTAGATGGATAAAGGATAAAACGGGACAAGCATGAACAAATCAGTAATACTCACGTTTTGGGGTCAGCGGGAAGTGGGTCAGTCCAGAAATAATCGTGGTCAAGGGCTTGTGAGGCAGTAATACGATCTCTTGGGTTGCATGTGAGGAGCTTATCCAGGAGGTCACAGGTCTCAGGGCCGATACTTGCAAAACAGTTAAGCATAAACTAAAAGCGTTGCAAAAATGAGAGCTGACCTTTCATACGCGGCTCTCAGCTTCTTGGAATAGGTCTGATTGAACCGCTTTACGCCCTCGCACCCTGGTAGTGCATCGTAATTTGGCCAGGTATGCTGATTGGGAGTACCGCATAACTGCCAAATCTTCTCCAGTTGGTCAATGTCCGATGATCCAGGAAGAATCGGCCTGCGCATGAACATCTCTCCCAGAACGCATCTGCATAGAAGAAATTTAAGAACTGCCCCAAAAATGTCGACAAACACAAACCCTATGCCCCAGATGTCTACTTCTCCACCATACTGTCGGGCGCCGAGCAATAGTTCTGGAGGACGGTACCACCTTGTCACGACACAGTTTGTATACTTTTTTTCTCTTCCACGCTGATCCATGACTCCATGGATAACGCTCGGATCATACGCGCGTGCTAGACCGAAATCTGCTATCCGGAGCGAACCGTTGTTATCGATGAGAAGATTGGCAGCTTTCATGTCTCTGTGTAAGATGTGATTCTGTGAATGGACATAAGACAAATCGAGGGTGAAAAAGTGAGGACAAACACGATGCATATATTCCGTTCCTTCCAAGAGTTGTTTCATATACAATTTAATATGGCTGGGTTGGAGCTTTACGCGCTCGTTCTCCAGTAAACCAGCAAGGTCATGGTCCATATATGGGAATACCATGTAAACAGAGAGGGGCGAGTTCTTGCCATTACCTGGTGCACAATGTTGGTGATTGTCATACAATGAGCCGATATGAGCACTCACTACGGACGACGAACATATCCAAGATCTCGATGATGCATGAGTGGTTCATTGCCTTGAGAATTTTGATCTCGCGCAAGGCAGTTACGGGCATACCCTCTTTCTCATTATGCATAAGAATACGTTTGAGGGCCACCAGACGCCCGGTGAGGTGATGGACTGCTTTGTGCACCTCTCTGAGCAAGGTGAGCAGTCGCATTCAGTAGCAGTGCAAGAGGCCCGATACATACCCAAAAGTACCTTCACCAAGTTTCGCAGTGGCGTCGTAGTCGCTTTGTTGGCCACAACCTAAGAAGAGATGACCGTATGCCTCTTGTTCTTGCTTTCTCGTACGCTGCACAGGGGCACGTTTTCGCTTATGCTCTGCAGGTGGTAATTTTTGCGTCGCATCCACTGCGGTATCCTTCTTTTCCTTTACTGGCTCTTCATGAGCCGACGGAAGTGGAAGTGGCGATGGAGAATGGGAGTCTCTAGGTGCTGGAGGCCGTTTCAAAGGAATCGCAATCGAAATAGCTGCGTGAGGAGGTAGGGTATCATCTTTGGGTCGTTCAGGGGTGGGGACGGGAGGTGGAGGAGAAGGTGGCGGTGGCGGTGTGTGGCGAACATGTGTGTGAGTTGAAGCCGAAGGTGATTGAGGGGAAGGGTGACGGGATACACCCGGGGAAACAGGACGATCCTGATGGTCACGGTCATCATCGTGAGCACGAGGTGCCACAGAAAGACGACTCTCCGTATGATAGGTATCACGATCGGCATCACGTCCTGCTTCAATATGATTTGGGTGGTCCCTATCATAGGAGTCCCATGAACGTTCGCGTTCGCGACGTGGCGAGTGGCGCATAGGACGACGATAGCGGTCGTCTATCCGTGAGTAGTTGTCATTGTCCGATGGTACCCCCCAGCGATTATGGTCATTGTGACGGGCGCGTTCCCAGCCCCCATCACGCATCCTTTGGTCATGTAGTCTGTCCACACCATAGTCACGACGAGGCGGACTATAATTCACCATGGGAGAGCGACGCGAGGGCAATCTGTGCTTTCCTCGGTGCGAAGAAGAAGAGGAGGACGGGGAACGGGAGCGGTCAGGTGAATGAGGTGACAATGAAGAAATATCGCGTTCCCTTCCGTAGACACGACTGTCATATCTATCCCGTGCTGGAATATAGGTGTCATGAGCAGGCCTGTAAGGTTCCCGTGGAAGATCCCAGGCAGGGGGGCGACGGTCGCCTTCTCTACTATAGGAAGGCTGCCAATGATTAGTTATTTGAGCGCCACCCCTTTTGCGAGATTGGTCACAGTAAGGTCTGGGTCTGCCGTTGCGCTGGTCATCCTCCCGAATGCGCCTCTCGTCGTCTTCGGATCTCTCATAAACCGAAGTATGCCTTCTGTCCATCATAGGACTAATTCTTTGACTAGAGGGACCAGGAGCATCTGGACCGTTTGTTTTCTTCTTGAAAGGAAACTTGACCTTAGTCTCGAACTTGGAAGGAGCTGGTTTGGGTGGTAGGGGAATTATTGTTGGGCGCGGAGAAGGTGGCAAAGAGTCATCGACTTCGCCTTCTTCTGGCGAGGATGTGGTAAATCTCTTTGCTGGACGTTCATTATGGGTATTATCTGGAGCGGCCCGCTTGTTTGAAGTCTGAAGCATTAGACGACCGGTGACGAAGAATGAGTGCGACCACAGGAATTAAAAGCAACTCTCGGAGAAAAAGGTTGGCTGACGTAATCCCAATACATTTCAATGAGTCAAGTGACTCAAGTCCTTGACATGCACGTTGCACATGGCGCTATCTAACGATAACCAGGCCAAAGAGATTATCGTTATTGGTGCAGGCGTCGTCGGCCTCACCACAGCGTTAAAAATCCAGGAACAGGGCACCTATCGTGTCACCATCGTCGCTGAGACATTCCCCACAGATCCAAAATCAAGCAGGTACACTAGTCACTGGGCGGTAAGCAGTTATCTTATTGGACATGTTCAAGATTGGGGCTAGTGTAACGCTGATGGATCCATAGGGTGCACACCATGTCAGCCATGCTTATGATGATCAAAGACAGCGAAGTATGCTGCTTTTTGACTCCATGAATAAACATGTCACACCCTAGTCGTACAGAACTTGATCAAGATACCTTCCATGCATTATGGAAGTTATCAGAACCAGGTGGTGCAGCCGAGGGTTGTTTCTTGCGGCACACCCAAACTGAATATCGCGGAGACGACCTCACCGATGCTGAATGGCTTCATTATATGCCAGATGTATGGACACAGACTCGCATTCATGACTGTCATTCTCTGACTCGCATCAGTTCAAATATTTAGATACGAATGAACTTCGTGGTCCAGCAAAGATAGGCTTCTCATTCAGTACAGTCACTATGAATACTCCAGCCTACCTTAACTGGCTTCTGTCCTCTTTCCTTGCGAAAAACGGGACTATCATACGCGTGTCCCTGCAGCACATCAGTCAACTTCTTGAGCGAGGAACCAGTCCGTACACAGGTGCCCACTCGTACCGTGACGTTGATGCCATTGTTGTCTGCGCCGGTCTTGGCGCTCGCAGCCTAGGAGGCGTTGAAGACAATGACGTATATCCAATTCGTGGGCAAACTGTGCTACTTAGAGCTCCTTGGATCAAGTTCGGGAGGACTATGACTGAGGCTGACGGGACGTACACTTATACCATGCCAAGAAGCAATGGCGATGTGCGCTTTCTGAAAGCCATACAAGATATGTTTTCTGACTGTTTTATATAGGTGCTGTGCGGCGGCACGAGAGTACCCAATGACTGGTAGTTCTCTCAAATCATATTTTGGTCGAATTCTCAACTATTACAGGTATCCAGTTCCGCGTCCTGAAGTAACCGAGGACATTCTTGCGCGGGCCCTGCAGCTCACTCCAGAGCTTGCACCCCCACAGACACGTGTTGACCGCGACCCCACTGTCGAGGACCTCCGTTCCATCATTATTGAGCCAGGTTGCGGTCTGCGCCCTGGAAGAAAGGGTGGGATCAGAATCGAAGTCGAGTGGTTTGATGCGCCCGCGCGAGGTAAAGTGCCTGTTGTGTATAACTACGGGTGAGTGACACCACACTGGCACATACTGCCCTAATTACGTGCGCATATCTAGACACTCTGGTTATGGCTTCTTGTCATCATGGGGCTCAGCAAGCATGGCATTGGACTTACTGGAGGGTGCTCTCACGAGCGGCGCTCCGACAAATGCAGACATATGCGTCGGTCATCCATCTGGGAATCCAGGAAACTGAGGTCTTATGAAAGGCTGCCTATTGTAGTAGCAACGCATGGGAAGGCGAAAGCAAATGTATAGATATAAGGGTACAATGACACAAGTAAGCAATATCTGAAGTGTGTATACTTGGCCAGGCGCGTTTCATATGTCCGGATCAAAAATTTGGTGGACGACTTCAAACCTTTTAGGCTCGATCAAAATCTTCTATCGTACGTGGGTCAGAAACTATGGTGATGATCAATTAAATGATATGTTTTACCGTCGTCATCGCTCTCCGCCGCTGTAGAATCCTGGAAAAATCGGCACCGCTTCCGAAACTCACCTACAGGCGGTGCCCGTGGCAGAGAAGAGAACTTCCTTCTGCGAGATCGGCGAGCACCATGTTATTTTTATCTACAGCAAATTGATCGAAACCAACTCGAATCAGTGTAAGCTACTTACGGATTTATAGTACATGAGCGCTGAGCGCTTGAGCAAGGACCACCGGATGGAATCGGCTGAACCAGCTATAAACAAAACCCAAATTTCACCAGCTGATCACCGGTAACGACAACCTCTGCGTTCTTCTTGAATTGGAATATTGTATGACACAATTGTCATTCAAATAGAAGGGACCAACATATGGCCGAACAACTTGAATGTGACAAGACATGATCACAGGCTGAAATACTGGTGGCATGAGAAATTACGAGGTGTTACAAGAATCGAGGAACGTTCGAATAAATGAAAATAACAGCGCTGAACGAGGTTCGTAACACGACATGCACAAGATACTAAACGAGCTTTACGAAGGGCTTGAGGTATCCAGGAAGAGGCGGAGGGCGGCCAGAACGCGGTTTGGAGTGAGGAAAGACGCCCCTCGAGATACCGTCTGATAAGTTATCTGCCGATTTGACCCACTCGACAGAAAAACATATACCGTGGTCGAGAGTGAATGCTGATAGCCTACGTAGGATATCATTCTGCACGGGGCTACGAGAACGACCGGCTCTGATGGCACCCACCACACCCTGATTGTCGGAGAAGAAGCGGATAAGGACATCGCGAAGGCCGGAGTGAATAAGAGCGCGAAGACCGAGGTCAACGGCCACCATCTCTGCCCATCCGATGTCACGTCCATCTGACTTCCACCCTGGGAGCAAGCGCCAACAGAGCCAGTAGCCATCGGCTAAGAAGCCAATTCCAAAAGAAGTCGAGGCATCCACAAAGAACCTAAGCATATTCGACTGTGCTGAGCTGGTAACGCTGACGCCAGACGACATGCGATAAAACTTTGGATGCGATGCAGTATTTGAGTAGAGGGGATGACTTAAATGAAGCTTGAAGGCAATAGAAAGAGGGCAAGAAGGCGCGACTCACGGAGGACAAGGCAACAATGTTGGAGATAGCAGTCGGCGCGGAGCCCATCCTCGGACCAAGTCTCCAGGTGTACAAGGTAATTTATACATTTGGACTCTTGACGGAGGGATGTGTGGTAACTGGTTGGAACTGGGTCCAGCCAATCTGATCAATTACGTAATATTTCCGAAAGGCACAGACTCCTATCCTCAACCAATCAGGGCCCGCGATCGTTTATTTGGCATCCAATATCTGCTTCTCCCGCTCAACACTGGCCTCTCTCCACTTCCTGCCTTTGTATAACACCAGCAGAATCATGCACTCAACGACGACCATCACTCCTGCCCAAATAGTATACAGACCACCGTCGCCAATAGTATCCTAAACCAACCTCAGATTCAGCCTTCTGCAAACTGTTATGACCTTGACTCACTTGTAAAGGAACCGCAATCTCGGCGGCGACAAAAGCAAATAGACCACGGACAGAACTATTCGCTGCTACTGCCATTGATGAGCGACCAGTGTTTGCATCGACAATGTATGCCAGTGTGATTGTGTAGATCCATCTATCGTGGATGAGAGCCAAATACAATATAAAACGCAGTGAACGTACGCGGTTAAAAATCCAATGAGGTACAGCATAACACACACAGCAGCGATATTGACTTGTTCTTGACACACCCAGGCGTATCCAATCACAGACAGAGGTAACCACAACATGGCAATTTTCGTGCTCTCGAGGCGCATCTGCATGAATTTTTCAGTTATATGCTGAGCTAGAACTAGAGATAATGGTTCAAAATTCACCTCTGCAAAGCTGATCCCTCCGTTCGCGGCTTTTAGCCGAGTAAGCGTCCGATCGGACCAACGACCACCCGATATGCTGCCCGTTACGCTGCCTGGGATAAGTAGATGCGTCAGGTATGTGTTCCCACTTTGCATGGAATACACTCACCAACGCCGAAGGCAAGCAAAACAAGGCCGGTCATCAATGCATCATAATGATAATACATCGACAGTGTTCTTGCGGATGTATACGCAATACTAAAGGTCAGCCCAAGTGTGAAGCCTAACGCAAGAAGGCATAAAATAGTTTTTAGTAAGAAATGAGGCCACGCACCTGATGCTATCAAGATAGGAACGTTGTTCTTGCGGCCGACAACCGAGAGGTATGCAGGGAGAGGGTTGACATCAGCTATGGACAGTTTTACGTCTTGAATGGCTGATGATATGACTGGTCGTTGTGCTTCGATATCTTTCGAAGTCGTCTTGTTTTCTCCATCCACTTTTGACTCCGAAATATTTCGCAACTCGTCCTTTGCTTCCGATGACTGCTGCTCCCCGAGTCTTGAATTCAATACGTTCTGATAAGTCACACTCCTCTCCTTCCTGAAGGTGTCCTTGAACAAGAAAAGGAATGCCGAAAAGATTACGCCTCCCCAGATGACTAAGAACCAGAAAACCGCCCGCCAGCTGAAGCCCTGCGTGAGTGCACCACCAAATATTGGTCCTAACGAGGGACCGAGGAGAGGTGCAGAATAGTAGACGCCCATCATCGTACCTCGTTGATGTGGCTCGTATATATCAGCCAGAGTGGCAGCTCCCATAGCGAAAACTGCGCTCGACCTTCTCAAAGTGAGCACAGACACGAGGGATTGAGGAACTGTCTCACCCTGAGGCTTGCACAATTCGCATGCCAATTACTAAACCAATAGTTTTTGACATGGCCACAATTGCAGATCCGATTATAAAAAGTGCAGTGGATAGAAGGTACACGAGCTGGGCTCAGTCATATTAGCAAACGACGCTCTAAAGGCAGCTATAAATATAAACCTTACGGCCCTTTATTTCGCCAATCGCACTCCAAATGACAGGAAAATTGCCTTGAATGAGAATGAACAGAGATAAACTCAGGCTGATATCTCCGCTGCTGGCGTGTAGTTGCTGCTCTATTTCAGCATTGGCAGCTGTTCCGTGGCCGTTCAACCGATATTGGATACAATAAGATCACGTGCAACCTACGGTTTTGTATATTCGCCGCCAGACCCGCAAACATTGCGGCTCCAGATATAATGAACAATACAGCAGTCTACAGTTGTGTTCGATCAGTTCCTAC